ATGGTTTGGGGTTTAAACACAGGACTGTCACAGTCTGACTTTTTCATGCCACTGTTCATTATGGATAGGAATCCAGATATGCACTGCTCCTGCAATAACAAACCTTGATCTAATATTCCAGATTTGTACTCATCTAAAATCATGATGAAAAGAGCCCCTATAGGATGATGCAACCATGACTCTTTTTTTTCTTTTTAAATATAACTTTAAAACACGATTTTTAAGTGGTGATTTTAAAACAAAACCTCAATTAGTTTATTTCAACACTTTTTTTGTACTATTATTAATGTTATCTTGCATGGTTTTATTTTATTATACAGATTATTAATTAGTTTTCTAATATTATAAGTTAACAAATTTTTAAATGATTATACATTTTTTTATTTCACACACTCTAATAAGAAATAATAATCATCATTTTTAATTTATTAAAAATATCATCAGAGCATTAGCTAGTAAAATCATTTTTAATGGTTTTATGCGGCATATATTTGGTTGGGATATGTCTCTCCCAGTTTGGAACTATACGAGAATTTATATATTAGTAATTTATAATATGATTGTTGAATCATTTTATTTTATTGTATTTCCATCCGTGAGATAAAATTTTACTTGTAAAATACATCATAGATGAATAATTTTTAAACCACAGAAATTATTTGTTCTTGAGAGAAGTTTATGTGGTGCTTTGTAATTATTTATTTATGCATTGGGATTCATATTTTTTTTTTCATCCTTTACTAAGCCTTTAAACCTAGTTAAAATATTCAAACGTCTAATTATTGATCATGCATTTAACATTTATGTAAGTTCTAGTTTTTGTTTCCAAAATTTTCTTACCTTTCTTAATTCTTTTGTTTCCAATTCCCACTGCATTCACTTTCAAAAACTTGAGTAAGATTAATTGATATTGAATTTAGACTAGAAAAATTACATTTCATACAACAATTTAAATCTACACATATTTTAGAACTGAAAAGTTTCAATCATATTCACATAAATCCCCTACATTAGATTCAGGAACATACCCAGATGTCCTCAGCTCAAGTTGCATACACTCCAACATCGCATAAATATGTTCTGTGTCGACATGAGATCTATCACCAGCCACGAATTCATGAACATCGCAATCTATTTCTATGGAACTGATTCCTGGTTTCTTCTGTACACCAAAATCCTTCATTTTCTTCCTCATGATGTTCGCCCCATCCCAACTTCCAACTGCTGCATATATATTTGAAAGAAGCACATAATTAGAATCACTACTAGGGTCCAATTCAAGAAGATGATTCATTAATCTTTCTGCTAAGTTGACATTCCCATGAGTCCTACATGCGGCCAACAAAGACCCCAACACAACCTCATTTGGTTTCATGGGCATGTTTTCTATGACATTCAATGCTTCTTCCAATCTCCCTGCGCGGCTATAAAGATCCACAACGCACCCATAATGTTCAATTCTAGGTGATATTCTATGAACACTCTTCATGACATTGAAGAGCATTAACCCCTCATCAACTAAGCCAGCGTGGCTACAAGCAGCGAGAGCACCAGTAAAACTCACCATGTCTGGCTTGAACCCTTCAATTTGCATCAATTTGAAGAATTCAAGAGCCTCCTCTGCATTCCCATTCATTGCAAACCCCACAATGATTGAGTTCCACGAAACCACAGTTCGTATCTTCATTTTCTTGAACACTTGACGAGAAAATTCAATACATCCACACCGCGCGTACATGTCTATCAACGAGTTATTTATCCGAACATTGTCCTTAATTTTCGTACTCAAAACAAGTCGATGTACCCATAAACCTAACCCAAATGCCCCCAAATTGGCACAAGAGGATAGTACAGCAATGATCATCACATAATCGGGTTCAACCCCAGAGAGCTGCATTTCAAGAAACCACTCCAAAGCTTGCTCAAAGTGACCTTTCTTGACATACCCACCAACCAAAGCCGTCCACGACACTGCGTCTCTCTCCGGCATTTCATCGAACACCTCAATTGCATCCTCTATTCGACCATTCCTCATATACCCATCAATCATCGTATTCCAAGACACTCTATTCTTCACACCCATCTCATCAAAACTTAACCTGGCGAGATCTACGAGGCCGCATTTGGAGTACATATCAACAACAGCCGTACCCACCTTGACATTGTTTCGATCCAAACCCAATTTACGAACATAACCATGAACAGATTTCCCGAAACAGAGACTTCGAGAAGGAAAATCGGCGCAAGCAGAGAGAAGGGTCATGAAAGTGATGTGATTGGGATCGACGCCGGAGACCCTCATGCGGGTGAACTCTGCAGCGGCCTCTGCTAATCGGCCGTTGCGAGAGTGACGAGAAATTGAGTAGGTCCATGAGACTGTGAGGTCAGAAGTGGGTTTGTTGTTGGTCTGTCTCAAGGGGAGTCGGTGATTTGGGAACTTTTTGTTGGAGAGAAAGAGGTTGGGGGTTGTGTTGGGGTGTAGGGATGGTGCTGGTGGCGGCGCAGGAGGAGAGAGGTGTGTGGTTGGGGAGGCGGTGTAGGCGGGAATGCTCATTGTTTCAATTAACGGTTTTTGGAGGGAGTTTCAATAAGTTATTCAGAGTTTGAAATTATGGCAAATTACATATACCTCTCTCGAGATTTAACTAAATTACATATACCTCTTGAGATTTCGAAAATTACAAATACCTTCCTGAGGTTTATATTTTCATAACAAATTGACTCCTGAGATTTATATTTTCATAACAATTTGCCCCCTAATTTGTTATGCAAATAGTATCTTCAGAGGATATCTATAATTTCTCAAATCTCAGGCATACCTATAATTTTGCTAAACCTCACGGGGTATATGTAATTTGCCCTTGAAATTAAATTCTCAACTTTTTAATTGGTTGAATTGCAATGAACAAACTCAATTATTGGTTGTTTTCTGTTTTGCCTTATAATGTTTAAACCATTAATTATCGTAAATCACACTTTTAGGAGTAAATGGTGGGTGGAGTAGTGATATCAAGTGACCATATCATTATTTAATAAGTAATCTTGATTTGTAGTAAAAATTAACAATAATGTTGAGTTAAAGAAAGACAAGATTCATTGATTTACTCCCTTTATTAGTTTTTGTTGATCGATAACACAACAGAAAATGATATTACTGTTATACTTAATATTTTTTAGAACAATTACCTAACAGTTGGGTTAGTGGAAAAAAAAATTAAATTAATAAAAAAAATTATAAATAGCAATAAGGGGTAGGCATGAGACATTATCCCCCTATAAAAATTCGCGAGTGGAAAAATCATGAATAGAATTTTGACTATAAAAAATGTAGTCAATATCAAAGTAAAAAATACTTAATATTATAATTTTTTTTATTATTAATGTTTATAATTTTTATAATTTTTAATGTTTATAATTTCTTTTAATTTTGAGTAAATAAGTTTCACTGACACAATATCAGTGTAATTCTCTCATATTTTTTCCGCTTTTAGACTTCCTAAACATTCTAAAAATATTATGAGTTTGGTGCTAAGAACAGGTTGACATATCAATTTGGTTGTTTTTTGTTTTAAATTTAAAAATTTTTGTTACTTGCTCCAATTTTTTAAAAAATAAATTTATATTTTAAAATCTATTTATCAAGATCTATCAAATAAAATATATATTAAATATGAAATTTTATGGAAATTTTTTGACATATATGAGAAATTTCTTAATTTTTGCAAAAGAAATCTTGATTTGTTAATTTCTTAATTGTTTGTGTATTTATATAAATAACAAAAAAATCAGTTTGAATTTCTCTCAAAATAATAAACCTTGTTGCATATAAAATATATATATAAAAAAACAAAAAAACAAACTGACTTCTTCTTTTTTTAATTTATAAAATTGAGAAATTAATCCTTTATATATGTTGAGAATTATGATGTCTCTTTTTGGTCCACATGGATGTTATTTACTGAGATTAAAAAACTGGAGACAACCCAAATTATTATTATTTTTTTTAAAATCCCATACCGTTTCGCATATGTAATAAATGGTTAAATTATACTTCGCTTGGTTTATATGTGATATTAGTGCGTGATGGATATTTCGATCTGTTTTAATCAATTAAATTGAACTGATCTGTCGTATTTTGGAACATATAATGACGAGTGGATAGTTACAGATTGATTTTTTTCAATCTACCTAATTTTGGACGGATGGTGAATTTGGCGTTTTTAGGCCGCAACCGAACCGTCAAATCGTGAGCACCCCTCATAATTTGTAAAATTTTGTATTTTTAATTTATTTAGATATTTTATTTATGTTTTTAATTTTTAAAAAAAATTAAAATATTCTGTTGTATTTTTAATTTGAAAATCCTTTTATCAAATGTCAAGTATTAAGATTTGGTATTTTTGTGTGAAAAATATAAGGTTTAATTTTTTTATTTTTTTAAAAAATCAAATTAAATAGTTTTTGAATATAAAAAAAATAATGAAATAATTTTGATAATGCATGATTTTCTTATATGTATTTATTATTTGTATTTAACAATTTACTTGATAATCTTTTGGTTATGATGAGTTAAATTGTTATCTCAAAAAAAGTATTAATAAGTTGTTGTATTATGTTCAAAATTTATAAAAATTTAAACCGCTAAGCCGATACGCATCCATCCGCCAATCCGCATCGGTCAATCAGGCGGACGGATGCGGATTGATCTTTTCTAATTCGCCAATTTGGCAGACGAATGGCAGATTAGAAATTTCCCGACCGCAACCGAACTGCAAACATCCTAATATTTGGCCATTTTCCTAATTAATTTTTTTTTTCTCTTTAGTCCTTTTAAGTTTTTCTTAATTTATTTTTGAGACTAATATCTATTCAAAACTAAATTAAAAATATATATATATCACATTAGCTGCCACACGATATAAAAAATATATATTATTGTATATTATTCATTCATTATCCAAAATCGAGTGGATGTGTAAGTTTAGAAAGACAATGAAATATCATTTTTGAAGGCAATTTAGGTTTCATTATTTGACTACTGAGGATTACCTTCTGTGAAAACTCACTCACATTGTCAAGTGGCAGCCTGGTCTATAAACATAACAAGTGGCAGCCTGGTCAATTCTTACAAACATAACAAAAAGCACAAATTCTTACAAACATAACAAAAATCGAACGCCCAATAGCTGGTAGGTGGAACTTGAAAAAGACACTCACCAAAGTCGCAGGTTGAACTCACGACAATATTGCTCCTTCCCTTAATATTAGTTTTTAGACATTGATACTCAAAAAGTTGAATGTTACCTCAGGAAACAAAATGCTTTCCCCTGATCTAAAACGTGGAGGATAACATTCCTACTAGCGAAGTTCCCTTTCAAGAAAAAAAAATTAAGGTTAAAATTCAAAACATTATTAACTAATATGACAATAAAACACAAAAAGCTGCTTGTTTTAGCCAGCAATATGAAATTGATATAGGAGATTAACAAAATCTATAGAACAACATACAGACCTATATCAAGGAATAACAAATTAAAAATTGGCACCAACAAACAACAATTCCATTTTCCCTATGTATATCTACATTTTTGACAACTCCCACAGCTCAAAGCCGATGTGTAACTGCTTTTTGAGCACTTGAAAATTTATAAGCTTCTATTCAATGTTTTATCCTCAAAGCATGAAACAAAAGTTACCCATATGAACAATATCAGGAACTTATTAAACGAAAAGGCAGCGAGGACTACCTTGAATCATCATCTACAATTTGCAGAACCGAAGGAATCTGCAAATCCAGTTGGGATCGCTGGAATACTTCCTTTGCTGTCGTTTTGACTATCACCAGTGAAATCTTTTGTATCTGCTTCTTGCCAGCCCTTTAACAATTCAGGAAGGGGTAAATTGTAAACGATGCCAGAATATTCTTCCTCTCTTTCTCCAACAAATGGTTTCCATTTCTCAACCAGCGGGGCCAGAACATTCACCGCATAACCCATATCAGGCCGATGGTTCAGATCTCTAGCCGTGCAATGTCCAGCCAGTTCAGCTATGATGCAAATGCTATCAAAAATCTCCTCATTCGCTTCAAGAGCCGGGTCAATTGCAACCAATAGCTTCTCTCTGTTTGATTTTATTGTCCAAAACCACTCGGCCAAGTACCGATTCTCTTCAGAACGATGCTCATCGAGTGCCGCTAATCCTGTCAAAATTTCCATCAGCACCACTCCGAAGCTGAAAACATCTGCTTTCGTTGTGATTTTTCCTGTCACTGAAATGGATATTTCATTATTAGGAGATTTACAAGCATGATTGTAAGAGGAAAAATAAAGATAACTAGGAATTTAGAGTCATGTTAATAATGAGGACATCACTCAAATATCAAATGTTCAATGAATTCATGTTGGAAATTTCTATGATCAATTCATATGAGGCTATCTAGGTGCATTTTGTTATGCTAGATTTTTACAAGACATCGTGTTCTTGTTAAATAGTCAACCCCACTTAAATAGGACACAAGACATAGTTTGGTTTGGTTATTGTGTTCTTGTTAAACGTTAGATTGTAAATCCATTCTCTTAATGAATGTTCTTTGGCTGAATAAATGAAATTGAAGAAAAATTATGCCGTGTGGGTTGTACTATGAAATTAAACATATTAATCACATCAATTAACGAAGTGGAAGAAAAATAATTAAAACACGTTGCACTTATTGCATTTTCAATGTGCAAGTTCTACATCAACTAACACCACAAGGTATAACCATTCCGAATTTAGGGCAGATAGAATGTCTTGCTTTACTATCAGAGTATTGTGTGGATGCACAATTTTTAATTTTGGCAACGCAAGAGACCAATCTCTTCGATGTTTACATTAATATATGTTTTGAAATGAAAGCAGAGATTAATTATGGAAACATGTTCTCTGAAAATCACACACCTAATGTTATACCATATTTTGCATTAAATTCAGAATAAGAAGACTGTCTTACCAGCATACTCGGGTGCAAGGTATCCAAATGTTCCCGCAAGCCTAGTTGCAACAGACTTTTCCCTATCGGGAGCAAGTTTCACTAGCCCAAAATCAGCAACTTTGGCCCTAAAGTCATCACCCAGAAGAATATTTGAAGATTTAAGGTCGCGGTGAATGAAGCTCTGATGTGCAAGTGTGTGAAGATACTCCATCCCTCTAGCAACATCTAAAGCAATATACAGCCTCCGAGTCCAAGACAGAGGCTCCAAGTTCAAGCTCTTCCATTGGAAAAGATGCCTACTTAGAGCACCCTGAGGCATATATTCATAAACCAAGAGCCTCTCATTGCTTTCAATACAATAGCCTAGAAGAGACACCAAATGCCGGTGTCGGACCTTAGATAGAACAGCGATTTCAGCCTGAAATTCTCCAGAAGCGTTGCTACTAATCACCCCACCTTCCATTCTTTTAACTGCTATTTTAGTCCCATCTTTGATCATGCCCTTGTAAACAACACCAAAACCACCACGGCCGAGCTCATTTTCTGGTGCAAAATTGTCAGTCACCTGTCGAAGAACCTGAACCGAAATGACCAGGTTTCCAGGCTCGATCATGTGACCATTTTCACTTCCACTACCACTTCCATTTTCAGATTCTAAGCTTTTGGGGGTGTTATTACAGACTGCAACCTTAACAATGTTATTAGGATCAGATGGGTCTCTAGGGTGGACCACAACGGCACTTGGCTTCGCTTTGGTGTCTTTCTTCTTCTTAAAGAGGAACAGAGCTAAAAGAACCGACAGAAGGATCATCATTACAGAAATTGTGGCTGCTACAATGACAACTAGATTATACCTTGCATGATTTGTTGGATCAACTTGCTTTTCAATATGACTAGGTGAGCTAGAATTTGAACCTTTTGTTGATGGGGCATTGGGCAACGGTGATTGTGAAGGAGGGGATGGGCCGCCATTTGGTGATTGTGAAGGAGCTGATGGGACGCTAACAGGTGAAGGAGCTGATGGAGTGCTAATTGGTGAGGGACGGGGAGGTCCCTTAGTCCGATTAGCAACCAATAGCGGATTACCATCAGTAATGAATTTAACACTGTTAGGGAATTTGGGTAATGGAGGCTGAAAATTGTTTCCACTTATATCCAACAATCTCAAAGATTTCAACTCAGACAATTTTGTCGGGACTGTGCCACTTATATGGTTTCCTCCAAGATGAATTTCCATCAGAGAAGGTAGGTTTGCAAGTGAAGGACTGAGAGTACCATTAAGCCCTTGCTTCTGCAAATTTATAATAGTAACCTCACCTTTTGTATTGCAACTCAACCCCAACCATGGTCCTTTACACGGGTCATTACCGGTCCACTGAGAAGCAAGATTCGAAGGATAATTCAGAGCACGAAGAAAATCTAAAAGCGCATTGACTTGAGGAGAACATGGTGCCCCAGGAGTTGATTGGCAAAATGAATTCGAAGAGAAAGTTACAACATTAGCTTTGAACTTAGGAATTGAACCCATTAGCATATTATTGTTTAAATTCAGTAACTTCAGATTTATAGTGGCCAAGCTCGGTGGAATCAAACCAACAAGCTCGTTTTTGTTAAGGTTGAGTTCTTTCAAAGAAGTCAAATCTCCAATATTATCAGGAATTGAACCCGTGAAGCTGTTACCGTGAAGCCAAGCTTGCCTGAGAGAGACCATCGAGCCAATTACATCAATTGTACCGGTCAATCCACCACCATCTTGATCATTCAACCACAAAACTTGCAACATTGCGTCATAGAAACTTTTGGGTATCCCGCCGGATAATCTATTATACGAAAGTCTCAATGCACTCAGAGATGGCAATTTTCCCAAAAAGTCTGGTAAGGGTCCAACTATATTGCACCTTGAACATGAAAAATTTGTTAACTGAATTGAATCCTCCAATTCATCGGGTATAGACCATCCGTTAGTTTCATTAAATGGGTTATCATCCAAAGCGAGGACACGAGCACTAGTAAGCCCGTGGAAGAAATCAGCGGGGATTGTATCAAATTCATTGAAATCCAAGTAAGCATATTGAAGTTCAGACAATCCACTGAAAGTGGGCAACTTCCCATAGAAATGGTTCTTTTGAAGACCTAAATTGTAGAGTTTTGTGAGCTGATTAAAGTTCTGAGGGAGGGTACCCTTAAGACCCAAATTGGCAACCTGAATTTGGGTAACTCTGCCCTTAGAACAGAACACATGAAGCCATGTGGGAGGGCCACAAGGATCATTTCCATTGTTTGGCCATTTCAGGAGATCTGGATTTTCCAACCCTTTTTTGAAATCACTAAGAACTTTGGCATCATTAGGGTCTGTAACACTAAAAGCCAGGTTCAAGAGGCAAAAGACAATTGCAATGCAAAGCATTCCCTCATTATCAGCCATGGTTTAGCTTTAACTCTTCATACCAGACATGAAGAGATTACCATAAAAGCTCATCTTTGGAATATAAAACAAAACCCAGTTGGCAAAAACATGTAAAATGTTTTCGGAGATCGAAAAAGTGAAAATGAAAGCAAAATTGAACGAACCTCGGAGGACCCAGATGCAACATTGAACGCACTCAACAATGGGGTATGAAATGGGAGGATTTTGAAGAGGAAATATTCAAGACCCAGATGGAGAAAATTGTGGAGATTCGAGGAGAAACAAGAAAGAGAGCGAAATCTCGTACACTTTAGGGTTTTCCTACATTGGATCAAACCCTAATGACGACGAGCACTTCCTCCACCACCGTCTCCGGTGTCTCTCTCTCTCTCTCTCAATTCTTCTCTATGTTGCCTTCTCTGTCTTTCTTTCCTTCTTGTTTGTTTGTTTTTGTTTTTCTATTTTTTGATTTTGGTTTTTTTTTTTTTTTAATTTTAGAGTTTGTTTGGGTGTATTAAAATAGCATATTTTTTATGTTTCTTAAATCATATAATTTATTTTTATTTTTATAAAAAAATTAAAAAAAAATATTTATTTAGATCATTTAAAACAATCAATATTATTCAAAATTTGTTAAACTGTGGACCATTTTGAAAATTAATTTATTGATTTATTTAAAACAAATCATCTCTTTTTCTTTTTCTTTTTTAACACGTTTTCTGAAAAAATTAAAAATAAATAAATAAATTATCTTACTTCCCAAAAACAAGCTTATATTATTACCATAATTTTTGGCCGATATGACGACATGACATGGCATACCAAATGCTTGTTTCTTATAACTACCTGTTTCGTCGGCGAGCTTATTGAGGGGCCGCTTGGCAAGATGGTTTGCGAGTAAAATAATCATAAAACATGATGACACTACTGCTGGAACATGGCCTGCCTTTTTGCATTTTTATTTTTTTTTTAAAGTTGTTTTTGATAGCTGTCCCTTTAATGTGCTGCGTTTTCTTCATTACAGTTTTGTGGTTGATAACCAATTGAAATGCTTAATCATGCTAAGCCTCCGTTTGAGAAGTTGGTTAGTTTTTTGACTTTTTAATTTTTTAGTTATTTAGTTTGAGATTAAAAAGTTTTGTTTGGGAAAGATTTTTTTTGATTATTTTGAGTTTTTATGAGAGAAATAATATAATGATTATAGATTAGATGCAATATTTTATCTTATTAAATTAAAAAGTTTATTTTATTTTTCTGTAACTAAAATAACCCTAAATCCATACAACCTATTTTTCTCAATTGAAGCCAAACTATGGTGGAACCTCCCTTCTATTTCAACAACCTTACTTCACGACACAGAAATTAATGACGTAATTATATATGAGCTCGTTTAGGAAGAAAAAATTTAGGATTTTTTAGTTAAAATAGTTTTAAAAAATAAAATAAATTAAAAAATTAATAAAATAAATATCACATTTAAATCATAATCATTTTCTTTTTTCTTTTATAAAAGTCAAAAAATTCATCCAAAACGAGGCTTTTTAACCCCAGCTTAAGGATTGTTTGGGAAGTGCTAAATTAGTATACTTTTTATTTTTTACAAAAAAAAGTGAAATATGGATTGAATTTGAAATAATGTGATAGAGTGGTGATGTGACTTAAATAAGATGATTGTGACCTAAATAGAATAACCACTAAAATAATTAAAAAGCTAAAAAATTAACTTACATCCCAAACGAATCCTATTGTAGGTGTATAAAAAATATAAATAAAAAAAAATGTGACACAATTTTCTTACATCAATATGTGGCCTGTTAAAAAAATATATTACTTTTCTTTGATGACAAATTATACTTAATTTTGTAATCAATTTTTATATTTTGATTTTTTTTCTTTTAATAGTTGGACTAATGTCTAGTGGGTTCATTCCGAACTTAGGCAGTTTGTTTCACTGGATATAAAATGAAAGATAAAATATGATGTGAGATTTAGTCAGGATATATAATGAATAGAATATAGGTATTGGATAGTATATTCTCCAAGTCATGTTTGTTGACTTGATATATAAGATTGGATATATATTATGCATGTTTTGTTTTACAAAATATATTGTGGGATATAACAAGTAATTTTCAAGATTGCCCTCATAATATTATACTATATTAAATTAAATTAAATAATATTATATTATATTAAATTCAAAATTTATATTAAATTATATTATATTAAATTCAATTCAATAATGTTATATTAAATTAAATTAAATTAAATTAAATAATATTATATTATATTAAATTCAAAATTTATATTAAATTATATTATATTAAATTAAATTCAATAATATTATATTAAATTAAATTAAATAATATTATATTATATTAAATTCAAAATTTATATTAAATTATATTATATTAAATTAAATTCAATAATATTATATTAAATTAAATTAAATAATATTATATTATATTAAATTCAAAATTTATATTAAATTATATTATATTAAATTAAATTCAATAATATTATATTAAATTAAATTAAATAATATTATATTATATTAAATTCAAAATTTATATTAAATTATATTATATTAAATTAAATTCAATAATATTATATTAAATTAAATTAAATAATATTATATTATATTAAATTCAAAATTTATATTAAATTATATTATATTAAATTAAATTCAATAATATTATATTAAATTAAATTAAATAATATTATATTATATTAAATTCAAAATTTATATTAAATTATATTATATTAAATTAAATTCAATAATATTATATTAAATTAAATTAAATAATATTATATTATATTAAATTCAAAATTTATATTAAATTATATTATATTAAATTAAATTCAATAATATTATATTAAATTAAATTAAATAATATTATATTATATTAAATTCAAAATTTATATTAAATTATATTATATTAAATTAAATTCAATAATATTATATTAAATTAAATTAAATAATATTATATTATATTAAATTCAAAATTTATATTAAATTATATTATATTAAATTAAATTCAATAATATTATATTAAATTAAATTAAATAATATTATATTATATTAAATTCAAAATTTATATTAAATTATATTATATTAAATTAAATTCAATAATATTATATTAAATTAAATTAAATAATATTATATTATATTAAATTCAAAATTTATATTAAATTATATTATATTAAATTAAATTCAATAATATTATATTAAATTAAATTAAATAATATTATATTATATTAAATTCAAAATTTATATTAAATTATATTATATTAAATTAAATTCAATAATATTATATTAAATTAAATTAAATAATATTATATTATATTAAATTCAAAATTTATATTAAATTATATTATATTAAATTAAATTCAATAATATTATATTAAATTAAATTAAATAATATTATATTATATTAAATTCAAAATTTATATTAAATTATATTATATTAAATTAAATTCAATAATATTATATTAAATTAAATTAAATAATATTATATTATATTAAATTCAAAATTTATATTAAATTATATTATATTAAATTAAATTCAATAATATTATATTAAATTAAATTAAATAATATTATATTATATTAAATTCAAAATTTATATTAAATTATATTATATTAAATTAAATTCAATAATATTATATTAAATTAAATTAAATAATATTATATTAACAAACATGACTTGAGGGATATACTATCCAATACTTATATCCTATTCATTATATATCCTGACTAAATCCCACATCATATTATATCCTCCACTTTTGGGAGATATACAATCTCACCGGATATTATATCCCCTTCAAAAAAAAATTGCAAACATGAGATATATGAACACCACCGGATATAATATCTAATCCTAATCTTCATATCCCCCAATCAAACAGGGCCTTAGATATTGGGGATTGAATCATTTATATTTCATTCGGGATTTGAATAATTTCTATTTTAGTATTTGTCAGGTAGATAATCTATATAAAAAAATTAAATTGTATATAATTTGTTTTCAAACTGAGTAAAAACAAATTTTATCATAAAAAATTAATAAATTAATTTTTTTAAATAAAAATAAATACCAAATGAGTTTTATTTATAATTTTTAAATTAAAAAAAATTAAACATAAATGCTACTTAATGAGTAAGAATTTTGTTATCATTATTACATTAGAATTGAAGCATAATAATAAGCAGCCTTAATTAATAATATACAACATAAGACAATTTTTGGCGTAGGTTTCTGTAGATTAAAAATTAATAATTAGGATATATGAGTTAAAAGCACTCCACAATCATTTTTTTAAACATATTTAAGGGAAAATTAGTGAAACATTCCTCTCCAACCTTATGTAATAGGAGAGGTTTAAGATATTTTTTTTTATTAGCTAAGATTCCTCAACATTTTCACAGAGAAAATTCGACTTAGTGAAATTTTATCCGACTCAGAGAAATTTCAATCTAGACTCCGAGAAATTTCGAAATTTTTTTGAGTCAGTGCGAAATTTCTCTGAATCAGGCAAAATTTATCAGAGTCAATTTTTCTTCGTAGAAATGTTGAAGAATCTTAACTATTATAAAAATATTATATATTCTTTATTTTATAAAATCTTAATATCTGAGATCTTATTAAAATTTCCCCCATATTTAAACTTTTTTTTAATCTTTTTTATATTGTAAACAAAAATTATATTAAAATCTCAAAATATAAATATAAGTTACAAATAACTCCAATATGTTGGAAAAGTAATTACGTGGTGAATAAATTATAATATATCATTGAACAAATATAAACACAATCTAATCTTTAGCAGGATTAAGATTTCATTTCGGATACGTGTTGACTTTTTAATTTTTTGACTATTTTAATTTGGGACTAAAAGATCTCGTTTAAAATGAACTTTTTGACTTTTGTGAGAAAAAATGAAATAATTATTGTTTAAATGTGACATTTTTAAATTTGGAACTAAAAAATGAAATGATGATTGATGCAGATGTAGTCCATAGGATTAAGGCAGGATGACTTAAATGGATAAGTGCGTCTGGAGTATTGTGTAATAAACAAATACCCACTAAACTAAAAGGTAAGTTCTATATAACAGCTATTAGACCAGAGATGTTGTATGGGACGGAGTGTTTGGCAACCAAGAAACAACATGTCGATAAAATGAGTGTTGCTGAGATGAGGATGTTAAGATAGATGTATGACAAAACTAAACAATACAGAATTAGAAATGAGTGCATTCGGGAATGGGTAGGAATAGCACCGATAGAAGATAAGTTGAGAGATAATCGATTGAGATAGTTTAGTTATATTCAACGGAGACTAATAGAGGTAGTAGTGAAGAGACACGATGCAGTACCGATAGATAAAAGTGTTAGGAAACCAGATAAGCCCAGATTAACGTTGGCTAGCGTTATAAATAGA